TGACTAGGAAAAAGACTGGAATGGACAAAGCAGCAACCAAAGATGGTAAAATCAGCTTGACTCAGAGAAGAACAAGCAGGACGTAGAGAAGTTCACGAGTGAGAACGAACGGTTACGGGAACGTTATGACGTGAGCCAGGTAGAACTACAGAAAGCGAAGCTCCTGAATGAGAAATTGTCTGAAGAACTGGATGGTATGAAGTCAGAGCTCGACAGAACACAGTCCAGAGTAGGGAAGTACACAAGCAGCCAGGAGAAGTACGAAGGGGAACTTGAACGAGCGAACATCGAAGTGGAGAAGATGAAAGACAAATATGAAAGAGCTCAGATCGAATGTACAAAATCACAACAAAAGGTGGAGAAACTGGAGAGCGAGAACGAGAGGCTCAAGAGCGACCTTCAGATGAGCCAGAATCAACTCGAGCGTTTCCTCACGGCCCAAGACAGGAACAAGACCGAGGTGGAAAAGACCTCCATAGAGATCGAGAAATTAAAAGACAAATTAGACCGTGCTCAGGCTGACTTCACTCGTGCTCAGGCTGGAAGGGAAAAGGCTGAGCTGGAAGTCCAACGACTGACGCATGAGATGGAGAGATCGCAACAGCACATGTCTAAATACCAAGAGAGCAATGAATCAGCCAAAATTGAGTTCGAGAGAATGTCTGTCGAACTCGAGAAGTTACACGAACGATTAGAAAAGTCTCAGACAGAACTCAGAAGAGCAAATGACACCAAAGAAAAATTAGAAATGGAGAACAAGAAATTCAAGAGAGATTTAGACGAGGCAAAGGGCATGGTGAATAAGGCCTCGGACTATCAGCAAAGGTCCAACACAGATCTCGAAAAGTGTAAAGAAGAGATCATACGTCTGAACAAGGAACTAGAGAGAGCTAAAGATGACCTCAGTAAGGTCGGAACAGAAAAGGAGAGACTGAATACGACACAAGAGAAACGCGAGAAGATGATCGGCAGACTCGAGACGGACCTCAAGCAGTTACAGACTGAGAGAGACCAGCTTGTGAAACAGCTAGAGAAGTCCCAAGACATGCTCCTGAACTTCCAGCAGGAGCTGAAGCAGTCAGAATCAGACTTACAAAAGTTCAAGGACGAGAATAAGCGAATCAAATCAGAGCTGAGCAACACCACGAAAGAGATGGAACAAGGGGCCAAAGAAATGTTGGAAGGCAGAGAAAAGGAAATCCAGAGGCTGCAAGGGCAACTCTCAGCCAAAGAAAAGGAGTTCAATGCCTTGCGAGCCGAGGCGGAAAAGGAGGTGCAGCGACTTCAGCAGGAGGTCCAAAAGGCTCAGCAGGTGGCACAGGCGGCTCAGAAGGAGGCAGGGTTAATCCAGAAGGAGGCTGAGAAGGAGCTCAAGAACTTGATCATTCAGTTGCAAGGCAAAGAGAAGGAGCTGGGAGTCATGCGCAGCGAGGCAGAGAAAGGAAGACTGCGGGCTGAAAAGGCAGAGCGAGATGTTGGAGAGCTGAAAAAACAGGTAGAGGATCATGCTGTAAAGGGAGAGGGCGAGACAGCCAAACTTCAGCAAAATATCTCCTCAGAGAAACAGAGAGCAGATCAGGCAGAGCGCGCTGTGCAGGAAATGCAGAAGCAAATGCAGACCATGGCTCAAGACAACCAAAAAATAAATCAGCAAGTGCAACAGCTGAATCAACAAAATCAGGACCTTAACAAACAGATTGCAGACACAAACAAACAAAATCAACAATTACAGCAACAAAATCAAACACTACAAAAACAAGCACAACAAGCACAACAGCAGATTCAGGAACAGACCCAGAAAATACAACACTTACTCCAACAAACACACGAACAGCAGCAGATCATACAGAACCAAAGCAACAACCCGAAAGACAGCCAGGAGATACAGAGGTTGAAGGCAGACCTGAACAAAGCCAATACTGAGTTGAAGAATTCAGCTGTTGAAAAGCAAAGGCTTCAGAGTCAGCTCGAGTTGCTGGTGACAGAGCTGGAGAGAAAGCAGGTCAGTTGGGGGAATGGAGGGACCAGAGATCAAAGTCCGTTCAGTTTGATGCATCCGCTGAGTGACCTCTTGTGCTCAGGTTCAGAGTCGGCATTGGGCGGGTCAAATATGTTTTTCATTTTTTCTGATTGAAGAAAATACAGTTACATTTGTTTATAGAATGTACTTCACTTATTTTACGATAAACAGTTGCAAATGTGGTTGCAAATCTGCATCGAATATCGACCTCAACCTTTGCACTCTTTTGTCACGGTGACCCTGTCTGACCTTTGTGTCCTTCCTTTATGTGTTCCCCCCCAACCCCTTCCTTCTTCATGCTCTGCCTTTTTATGAGCATTGTTATGTTTTGCCATAGGATCAGTCATGTGTGTTGATTGTGTTCTTGTTGTTCGATTCTCTGGTTTCTTTTCATTTTCCCCCAATTGATTTTTTCTTTTATTTTAAGTTTCATTCGTGTATTTTAAGTGTAGCAGTTGGTGTTTTTTTATTGTTGTATTT